GGTCCACGGTTGAACCCTCTGTGGCTACGAATACAGAGTACAGAAGGTTCTATTTAGCTCGTATAAGCCAGAGAATAGTGGAAGGTCCATGGTTAGTCCTTTGACTATGAATATCGTCTATAGAATGCTCTGTTTAAAGCTCGACTACATCAAACCTAGCCTAGACTAGTTGTCCTCAGCGCCTAACTCAGACCTAAGGGTAGTGTTGCTGTTTGCTATACGAAGAATGGAATGGTCAGTTGAGGAGCGTACATATAGGAACAGCACTTGCGAGAGAGACAAGAGCATAGCCCTCTAGCGGCACACTCGTGAGGATCCCTGTATCGCAACCGGAAAGAGTTAGCTTTTTGCTAGGCGAGAATCGAAGTTTTTTGTGCCTCCCAATCAGAGGGCAAGTAGATATAGCCAAAAAAGTCTGCGGTCGTCGGGCACAACCGCCGTGAAAACGTGATAATCTTGGTCGTTGGATAAGCAAGCGATCATCGACGCTAACCACCGTGCTCGAATGGACATTTTCTCTGTGGCCCGGCGAGTCAGCCACCGTGCTGCAAAGAGTTAATTATCTTTCCCTCGAATCGAACGCTCTGTCACTGCGTGCCGTGTGCGCCGCGAACCGCAACATCCATCCAGTCCATCTAACCCAGGCCCGTTTTTCTGCCCGTGTCTCCGGGAATAGCAACCCGGCGAAACAAGAACAAAAGCCCCGTCCGGCACATTGTTCGTTTTATTTACGAGCCGCGGCTTTATTCGTATCAAATCGTTCCGGTTCGTTAAACAGATCCTTATTTCATGTTTCGGGCGGGGAGGAAGGACGATGGCGGAGGTGTAGATCCGTCGTTGGTCGTTCTCCGAGCCGGGTACGGTTGTTGTTCGAAAGAAAGTCTGTGGACCTTGTCGCTTGTCATCCGACATGACAGCGAAAATCACATTACAGATATTTCATTTTTCCGCGGTGGTTCGATAAAAAGGGAACGGTACCGTTAAAATATTCTCGTACCGACCGTGGCTGGCAGGAACTCCAGCATCGGGGCGAATAAAAGACGATGGAATTCCTCTCGTTATAAAAAATACCAAAGTCATAGAGCCCCATTGTTCAGAATGCCAGGCACTTGTTCGCCGGGCTCAAACTAGCTTCGTCTTTTCATATTCCTGGTGCAGTTTGCATTCCTCCGATTCCTCCGTCACGATCTCCGTGATCGTAATTACAATACGCGGATGCAATTTTGAATAAATCTGACACAATGTTCCTAGGAACATAACGAATTTCGTAATTATGAGATAGAAATTACGTCGTTCTTAAGCAGAATTTAATACGAGTCTATTACGCGCTAGATATTGACACAGACGTTCCATTTTATTTCTTTACGCGGCCGACAATGCAGTCTTGATACCTGTTAATTGCGCTCGCGAGGTTGGAATTCTATTTAACTCTCCTCTAAGCTTTTCTAATCGCTCACTGGTATCTTGTCGGTTGTATCAGCGAATCCTTCGGATTCCTCCGCCCGATTGCAGCAGACTTAACGATCCCTCGTAGAAAAACTCCTACGGAGAATATAACGCAAATTTCTCGCGTTATACGACGCCGTATACGCGACCGTGACAACCATAATACTCTACAGACTCGTCCAAGACGGAAAGCTGCACCCTATCAAGATCGAGAGTCGCTCTAGAGGGGTTGAGTTTTGAACAAAGTTCCTAGAAAACGAAGGTCCCCGTCGCGTGGATCTCGAAACGGACCTGGTAACTGGTTTTGTGGTCAGCCAGGGATGAACAACATGAAAAAAATGAGCAACACGTAAGCTACGGGTTGTTCCGCGAGCCGGACGTCGGTTCGCCAAGTGGACTTGTCAACGGGCGACAGAAGGAGGTGTCCGTCACTCCCACGAGCGCGATTAAGTGAATCAATTATGCCAATAAGGTACCACGTCTGGCCGGAGGGGGGCGATTGGCGAACAATGCTGATCGAATTATAACCCCGTAGATATGACGCGCGCGCGATCCAGCGCGTGCATGCATGCTCGCGATGCACAATGGATGCACGCCACTTCCAGAGAGAGAAAACGGTACGGTGATAAGCTACGCGACAAAGAGAGAGAGAGAGATACGGAGAGAAATATGCGGGTCGGTGAACTACGGGAAGGATGCTGCTCCTTGGATTTTTCGCCACGAAACCGGAGACGAGGACACCCGGGACACCGTGATCTCGAAGATCGATAACGAGGAGCAATTTATTCTTTTATTTTATCTTTTAAGGGATACCCCGAGGGGGCTGGGAGAAACAGTCGCGAAATTGCCGGGAAATTAGTAGGTTGAAACGAGGACTCTCGACGCTCGGAGGGATCCACAGTGAAAATGAAATTAGTTTCCACCCTTGTTCTCATCTTGAGAATTAATTTTTCCAAGATCCTTAGTGGAAAATCTACTCATATGTCAAAGAGTAGATAGATTTTTATGAACGAATTGGGATCGAGATAGATTACATCTTACTGTTGGTACGGAAGTTCCGATATGCAACAAAATGGCTACTTGCTCCGCGAAATTAGTAGGTTGAAAGGAGGACTCTCGACGCTCGAAGGGATCCACAGTGAAAATGAAATTAGTTTCCACCCCTTATTCTCGTCTTGAGAATTAATTTTTCCAAGATCCTTAGTGGAAAATCTACTCATATGTCAAAGAGTAGATAGATTTTTATGAACGAATTGGGATCGAGAAAGATTATATCTTACTGTTGGTACGAAGTTCCGATACGCAACAAAATGGCTACTTGCCTCGCGAGATAAAACGATACGCATTGTAATACTGGGGGGGGGGAGGGAAAGGGGACGCATTCTTCGCTGGCGCGCATCTCTCAAAGCGCGCCGCGAACATCGCCGCTATTACAGTCTTTTTCCGCGTAATAATCGAGAGAGTCGGACCTCTCCTTCCTGCATCTTCGCGGGGAGCCAGGACGCTAACAACCGAACACGGGGAGAGATAAGCGTCGGTCGGGTCTACGAGCGTCCGTAATTACGCCGATTACGATTTATCGATAGCCGGGTATCGACCGACACGACCGCGGCCGCGTTGTTACGTGCGTACGGCGACGATATCTAAATTGAATTTCCGGTCGAGCGCGGAACCACCCCCTCGCGGTCCGTAGATCGCGTCGAGGGGCTGATCTGCTTTTAAATTGAACAAAAATCGATATCTCCGAGTGGATCGTTTGCAACAACGAGAAGACCTCGACACTCGATGCAAGTTACAAAATTGTATAAAGGAATACGTAACTGACCCGTAATCGTAGCGGGTGGTTTACACTTTGCAAATTCGAGGGCAGATCGAGCACGAAGATTTGTACGGGATCGTTGGTCGAAACCGGACGTAACGTTGGATTTTTCGAGATCGCGGAAAAGCAATAAAACCGTTTACGAGCGGAGAATTTATTTTCGACCGCCGCGTCCTTCATCCTTCCTCCCGTTTCGAGCAGTCCCGATCCAACGTGTACCATTTTGCCAATCATTTCACATTCGCCTCGTCTTATTAAAACATTTAATTACCGTGTTATTCGGTGCACGATATACGAGCGTTATAATTCTCGAGCGGATAAGGGCGCGATCGTTTAAAACGCGCGAAATTTATCGGCGAGGATGTTCCGTGCGTCCTTCGATTAGTCGCGTGATCAAGTCCCGGTTAAATTATTTCCTCGACGGTTTCGCGGCGGCGTACGCCGTATCGCGAACCGCGCCTCGTGGTTATCTTTAACTGTACCCCTCGATTTTATAATTTGTTACATATTATGCGGAGCCGGGCGCAGAACGACCGTAGTAAATCCCGTGTGCTGTTGACCCGACGATCGCTGGACCGAGACCAACCGAGCGGACCCGCGGCCGTAGATATACGCGAGGAGGGTCAGCAGGAAGCAATTAAAGTTTCGACAGAATCTCTCGGTTTAACGTTACATCCTCGCGGGGGGAGAGAAAAAAAGAAACAAACTCGCGACTACGATTTCGAGACAGATATTCCAAGCGATGGATCAAGGATCCTGCAAGCTTTTAGATTTAAAACAGAATGGAACTGTAGATCGACCTGCACAGGGGACAAATTCTATTTAAAATATGGATTTTTGTGTTACGATGTAACGAAAAGCATTTACAAATAACGTTATGCAACCTGGATTGTGCGATAGTTCTCGATATTAATTGCACTTTCCTTTTAGCTACGATTTTTCATCCACGCTACCGTGCAATTGATCGATCGCGTATACGTGGAATTTTCTACGGTCCGTGGTTCCATTTCATCTGGCGAAATTTGAAATGAAATGGCGCAATCGTGGTTCGGCAATATCGGTTGCATCACCGATCTATAATATAATACAATATCAAAGTAACGTTACAATCGAAAAGAATCCATGATTGAATGGAAAATGTCGGGAAGATATGCTTGGTAATAATTAGTCATCGATATTGGTACAGTTACGATGAAAATGGGTTGAAGATCAAAAGGAATGACCAACAGAGAACGTCGTGTGCATAGATTGACACGAGTGCGTTTCGTTGTTCAATCTAGCGTAACGAGATAACGCGTGGACGTCGCAACGAAGAACCACGTAAATCGTAAAACGAAATAACGTGTACTGTTACTTCAGCTTATTACGAGCCAACGAGGCTAAACCGTCAGCCTAGCATCAGCGTAATGACATTATTTTAATGACGGACCAAACACGCGCACGCAATTGCCACTGAAACAAAGATCCTCGATGCACGCGTTCACCGTCCAACCGAGAGTCTTGCTTTCAAGACGTTGTTTATGGAATTAAATCTACCTGGTCCAATTTCTACCACGAATTGCAACCCACCCGGTGTGTCTGTTGGACGTAAACCAAAGTGGTTTGAAGCTTCATTTGGTTCAGCCACGGTCTAGAACGGCCACGGGGTCTACTTTTACCAATTCGATGAAGAAATGACTTTCGACACCTTTAAGAGGAACAAACGATGCTAATAAATCTCGTTTTTTGTTTGCAGATTTCGTAACCGGCGCCTGTCCCCGAATATGCCCGCCGAGCGGAGAGCCGGTGTGCGGTAGCGACGGAGTGATCTACGCGTCGCAGTGCGAAATGCGGAAGAAGATGTGTGGAAAGGGTGAGCCGTCTGTTTCCAACCGTAATAATTAGAATTACCAGGTAAACCCGAGAGGTGCAACCGTCGGTCGATTATACAGTTGCTTAACAACGTCCGTCGGGAGTAACGCATCGCGAGGCCGCTTATCGGGGGACGTACGCGTTTCGTTTCCTCGTTTCGAACGCACGAACGAGCCTTAAAATCCGTACTCGAGGCGCGGTCGTTAATGATAATCTATTAGCGTCGAGCGTTGCTTGGTTTTGCCTTGTCTCGGGTTCATCGGGACGGCATCGAAACTCACCGACATCTGGGGGGGGACCGGGCACCAGTAATTATCGGTGCTTAACAAATTGCATAGGCGTGACCGTGGCTACGGAGAAGACCGCCTGCCTGAGGTCATCCGGTAGCAAGTGCGAGCATCGTTGCTCCGGCGATCAGGATCCGGTATGCGGCACCGACGGTCGCACGTATCTCAACAAGTGCATGCTGAGGGTCGAGGTATGCAGAGTGGGCATCGAGCTGTCCCACCTGGGTCCCTGCAACAACATATCCGCGCACAGGGAGAACTGCCCCGTCTCCTGCGAGTTCGCGCCCCTCGACGGACCGATCTGCGGTAGCGACGGGAACGTCTACAAGTCCACGTGCCAAATGAAACTTCTCACCTGCGGGTATGTATCCCTAACCGGTGTTATCTCAATTTTCAATCGATCGAGCTAAATTTCTGTTTAAACGACCCTTCGTTAATATCTGAACCCTTAAATATTTCAGCAAAAGAAAAAAATTTTCAAATCGTTCCAGAAAAATTATTTTCGGTCGCGGGGGTCGATTACAATCATTTTTCGTTAATAGACATACCCTCGAAATCCTACCCAGTTTCCAGAAAAAAATTCGAGAAGGTGTGAAATTTTACGACGAAAAATAAAGTTTCAAATCGTTTGGGAAAAATTATTTTCAGCTGCGAGGGTCCATTGCAATCACTTTTGATGAATAGAGTTACCCCCGAAATCCTACCCATTTTCGAGAAAAAAATTCGAGTAGTTGCTGAGATTCGATTCTAATAACTTTTTAACAACCAACCTGACCACCTGCCATTTTTAATTTTGGAATCAGTGGCCTCAAAAGCCATTATATAGAGACTTAAATACACACTTGAAAGCTCCTAATTTTGCCCAATTTGTACGAATTCTACGAACAAGAAACGCATCATTTGTGGGGTAACATTAGCGACTACGTAAAATTTACAAAATCGTGGTCCTACCCTTAGGGACGAGGTATCAATCAAAATTAAAGGGTCTGTCGGTCCTTCGACTAACGAAGGGCCGAAAGGATACACCGTAGCCTCTCTTCTTACAATTCTTGGAACTCGAACCGGTCAAATGAGTTTTTAATTGCATAGCTAGCGGTCACTCCAGGCGACAGTCGCCCCAAAGAAACATTAAACAATAGCAGATTGATGGAAGAGGCACTACCGTATACAGGGTGTTCCATTTAAAACAATCTAACCTCTAGAAGACAAAATTTACTCTATCCCGTGCAACGTTAATATCATCCCCCGAGTCTTAACATATCTGCAACGATCTGACCGTAGACAAGGTGTGGTGCGTACGAACAAAAAGCACTGCCAGACCACCAGACACTGTCGCGAATCTTGTTGGCGCGGTGCCAAGCCAGCGTGCGGCAGCGACGGGATCCTCTACTCGAACACCTGCAAAATGCGAGCGAAGAATTGCGGGTAAGTAGCGGCCGCGGATCCTCGAGGATCGTCCGGTTTTCCCCGCGACACGCGATACTCATTCCCGACGATCGATCGTTTAGCAAGCACGTGTTCGAGGTGCCGATGTCGTTCTGCGTGTCCCGCGAGCGGACGTCGGGCAGCCAGCTGAACGCCTGCCCGCTGGACTGCAAAAACGAGCCGGACACGGTCATCTGCGGATCGGACGGGAACATCTACAGGAACGAGTGCGAGATGCAGATGCTCAACTGCGGGTACGTAGCGCGTAAATTCAAATACCGTTCATTCGGGGGTGTGATTCTATGGGGAAGAGATTCATTTTGTCGTCAATTTCTAGGCAAGCTAGGCGAAAGGTGACGGTGGTGGACTTCGAGAAGTGTCGACCGCGTTTGACCAAATGCATGAAGCAACAACAGAGGTGCGGGAACGACGTGGACCCAGTTTGCGGCAGCGACGCGAACGCGTACCCGAATCAGTGTCACCTGAACGTGGCCGTGTGCCTGTAAGTGCATTCTAGAGGAGACTTCATTTGTAATTAGAAAACCAGGACTTCCGGGACCTTTGCGTTATTTCTACTAAATGGGGGACGATGTTTCAGAGATTGACTTGCATAGACATAATAAATAGTCGTTTTATATAGATGGGTTTTCGACACGGTAATGTTTCAGAAAGGGCATCCAATTGGCTCACGTCGGCGAGTGCACGACCTTGAAGGAGACCGAACACTGCCCCGAAGACTGCAGCGAGGTGCCCGAGGAACCAGTTTGTGGAAGCGACGGGAACGTTTACCGGTGATTAAGAGCGTTATTTGGATTCCAGGACCGTCCAGCGGCCGTAGAGTTTTAAGAGCGCGTGAATCACGAACGGTCGTTAGAAGCGATTGACCTTCGGAGTCGTCGTTTAAAAGACCCCCTCCGGGTCCCGTGGTTGCGTTCCCCAGGGCGTTCTAGAACTCTGCGGCGACGTTGGACGCGTCCCGCGGACAGATTTGCGTTCGCGAACGGGTGATCGAGCAGTGTGCTTGTTTGCGTTTAGGTCCCTTTGCCATCTGCGGCGCGAGACATGCGGTCAGAGGGTGGTTCAAGTTCCAGCGCAACATTGTCGTACCACCGCGCTTTGCAACCAGATCTGCAGCGGGGAGCGCCAGTTTGTTTGCGGTTCCGACAACAAGCTCTATCGCAACGAGTGCGAGATGAAGAGGGACAATTGCGGGTGAGCGAACGACAGTGTTCAAACACTGGCTATTTGCGATTATTAGGATGGTTGAATAATCGACAACTCGGTTACGCGAGGGAATGATCGATTAAATCTTGGTTTGTTTGATTTGCCCCGTAGGAAGCACGTGTACGTGGTACCGATGAAGAGATGCGTCCAAGGCTTTCTGTTCCGCGGTTGCCAGAAGATCTGCCCGCCCTATTACGACCCTGTCTGCGGCACTGACGGAATGACCTACAGCAACGAGTGCTTCCTGGAGATCGAGAACTGCCGCAGTCGAAGCCTAGTTACGAAGAAGTACCACGGCGTGTGCGGCCAACCGACGGAGGAGCCTAAGAATTACTTGTACTAAATCGATGGATTTCTAATTGTGTCGAAATCTATGTCTTTCGAACCGTTGACGATTTCAAGACGACTCGGGAATATATTTCAGAGAAACGAACGTAGAAAATCGATCGACTTCCCCGTTCGTCTTGAAACGAAATTCGATGAATCTCGCGAACCACCGCGGAATTTCACTAGCAAACCGTCTTATCCGAGATGAAATTTTATCGAGGAACGAGCATCTCGGGGCATGATGCCCGTTGATCGACCGCGTAGAAGATAGATCGTTTGTCTCCACGATCGACCGCGTTGCGACCGTAGTCGATTTGTCGACGAATTTCTCGCACGGACCGTCCCCCGTTCGATCATCGATCGGACCCATGTGACCGTAGTTAACAGACTGAAGCCAATTCTGGCGTCCATCTGTTTCTTGTAAGCTCTGAATTTTTATTTCGGGGTTCACGATCGTAGATTGGAACATCCCGACGCACGCAGCATCATCGCGATAACGAATTTCCCCGACGACAGAGATCCATCGTGCGTTTTACCCGCGTCGCTCCTTCGATACCCTCGCCACGCGCTCGCCGGTACAATCATTCTTATTTATTGTAGTATTATTATTATTAATTATTCCATCGTCTTTGCATCATTTTGTTTATCGCTATTTGCTACGGTAACACGATAGTTCCAAAACCCTACCCCCTTACTCTAATTCTAAGGAAATATTTAGCTATTATATCTCCCCTCTGACATGTGATGTGTGTTCATATTATTATTATTATCCCTTATCATCGTATCCTTAATTTATTATCGAACATGCGACAATCCACTCTGTATCGACACTAACATACATGCTTCGAATGTCAATAATAAACTATATACGTATATTTTAAGGTAAAGGGGAAGCATTTACTCTATATCCTGTTGAAAACCATAGACGAGGTAATACGAATAGACCTTACACCCTATAAAGTTTCCTATACCAATTACTACCATACCGACCTGAAAATACGGGGGTGATTCTAACGTTCTCTTTCCATAGATGGCGGTCAGTTGACAAACTATTCACCGAATTATTATTGTAATTTTAGAATTATAAGAGTAGACCTTTCACCTAATGTATTTTTTCGGCCCGTTTCTCTGGGGTCCCGGGACCCCATTACCATTTCCGTGTCACTCGCGACGTTACCGACAGATTCGGAAATGAACACAAGAGAAAGTGAAACAGAAAATGAAATTACCGAAATTTTAGTATTTTTTAACGAAACGAAAGCTGAATTTCATCGGAGTAACCAATCGATTAAGATTATTAAAATACGTAAGGATGCTCCTCATTTATAAGTAAACCGCAAATCCTCTGTTTTTTATTTCAAATTGTAATATATCATTTATTTAAAAAATAACTCGGCAAAAACGTATTCGCGACTCGAAATCAGTGATATTAGACCGCATACTAGGACGAAGGAGGTATGTGGAACTAGGAGAAGAACGCAGCCATTAGCTCATATTATTTGATATGCAATTAATAATTATATTAATTACATAGCAAATAATATGACCCGGGTCTCACCGCGAGGAGGTTGCTGCGTATGGAGACCCGCCCTAGCCTCGCCCCAACCACCCTTCCTTTGGCGAGGAATTCGAATACCTATCCAAGAGAGAAGCTATCGAAAAGTTGGAAACGAGCTACGAAAGGAGAGTTCTTAAAAGAACTGCCCAATCGAGAGACGAAGAACCTAACAAAATGTCAATACATGTGAGATGATACACATGTTTTCTAAAAACGAAATTGAAATGTGCAACTGCACACACGAACTCTGGTGAAGAGATCGAAAACCTAACGAAATGTTGATACATGTGAGATAATCACATGTTTTCTAGAAACGAAATTGGAATGTGCAAGTGCACGTACGAATCCTGATTACTAAAGTATCAATGTGTACTTTATTACTAATTGTTCCTTCTTAAATAACACGACACTCGTACAAAACGAAGAAAGGATCCTGAAGATCCAACCAAGAAATGTGCAACTGCACGTACGAACCTTGCATATTAGAACGCTAATATGTATCTTAATACTAATCATTCCCACTTAAATTTACGCAGATGTTTCGGTAATATTTAATAAACGACAGGAGAACGCTTTTTTATCTTATAATCTATATACATTTGTACTTATATTCTAACACAATCAATAGAAACAGGAAGAAATACGAGGAAATATATTCTTCTTGGTATCTTCATCGATCCCACGATGTTTTTCTAAAACATACACTCACATACAATAAATATAACCAATATAAAACGAAGATATGACAAAATATTTTCTTTTTGGTGTCTTGATTAATCCCACGATGTTTCCCTGAAACATAAATCAGACAATAAATAAAATTGTATGAAATATTTCCCTAAGAGCGATCAAGATGGAATCCGTGCACCATTTCTAATTCCATTCTTCGATGATTATATATTCTGTAACAAGAACTTGTTCGAAGGATTAATAGCTGAAATGAAAGTGTATTAACGAACACAGAAAAAAATAATTATAAAAGTGATATGAAATTAATATTCGAACTAAAGCTTCCGCGAGTAAAAATTGAAATTAAAAAGTTTAAAAACATAAATACTACGTGAAATTGAATGAAAATTCGTCTCAATGTTAAGATAAATACGAAATAGATTGAAAATTTTATTCATTTGTCACCGGTGATTTTACTTTTCGTTTCCTTTATGAAATAAACAATTTTTCAAGACGTATAAGTTGCAATAATTATATTTGACTGTATTCGAAACTAAATTAGATTCATAGAGAAAAAGCAATAGCGAACGAAAATATCGATTCTACGCGGCAATTAACTCTCAATATGAAATTATCGAATTGCAATTTGCATACCCTTTTGATGCAAGCATTCTATTTTCCATCGATTAAAACAACGATCGCGAACAAACTTTGATTTATGCAAAGAATACAGAATATTTATAAAAAATTAACTATTTATAAATAACAATTGAGTTGCAACGATTATTATATCCCGTAAAAATAACTCTAATAATGAATACTTAGTGATATAGATATACATATGTATTGGAATCATAAAATTAATCATAATATAGCATTTTTAACTAAAATTACAGATTTTAACACGTTATAAAGACTAAAACAATTGGTCTATTTACAATAGTATTTTCAAGCAGTATTTCCTTTGACAAATATATAGAGAAAAAGATATATTTCAGATAAACGTCCACTCGTCTTAAATTCAAACAACCCGCGAGTGGACCATTCTTTCTTTCGCAACGCTAATTTATAAAATAAAAAACTATACGCGAATGGTGCTTGTTATTCGGAAAATGTACCATACAGTGTTTCTTTATTAATTAAATCGCGTGCACCCATATTAAATCATACGCAACACTAATTTTAATGACGACGTTGAGCCATTCGAGGCTTTGTAGAATCTCAGCTTGCTTTTCGATGATCCTGGTGCAGTGGCCAGCGTTTTGGCCAGCTTTTGGGCATTGAATCGCAACTCTAATTAATACAAAACGCGACAAGTAAAGATCGCAACGCTAATTTATAATATAAAAATTCCAAACGCGATTTATAACAATAAAAGCAACCGTGAATGATGATTATTCGCAACACTACCCTGAAAAGTAAACGCGAAAAATAGTAATTCGCAACGCTAAGAACAAACCGATCGGTACGTTCGCAACGCTATTCTTAAATAACGATAAAAGCAATCGCGTATGGAATTCGCAACGCTACCCTGAAAAGGAAACGCGAAAAATAGGAATTTCGCAACTCTACGAGCAAACGCGATTATTGTATATTCGCGACTCTATGTTTGATGGAAATACATTTATGTTTCGCAACGCTAATGCAAATCGCGTTGCCCAAAAACGCTGGATCAGGTGCTGGCGTCTTCGGTTGTAGCTAGAAACATACATGCACAAAATAATCTAACTACATCAAGCTACTTCAAACTACAATAGAGTGGCACATATGGGGATGAAGTTAGACGTTTTAAATGTCGCAACACTACGGGGCAACAACGCGATAAATCAACAATCGCAACGCTAATTTATAATAGAAAAATTACAAACGCGATTTATAAGAATAAAAGCAACCGCGAATGGTAATTATTCGCAACGCTACCCTGAAAAGCAAACGCGAAAAATAGTAATTCGCAACTCTAACAGCAATCGCGTTTACTAATAATTCGAAACGCTATTTTTAAAGCAAACGCCCGGTTCCTAGGTTTGCATAAAGACAATCGCGAATCGTATTTATTCGCAACACTGATATATCAACGCGATAAATATTTGTTCGCAACTCTACGAGCAAACGCGAACATTGTATAGTTATTCGCAACTCTAACTTTAATCATGGGCTATTGGTACATGTCCATAGACATGTACTGGCCACAAAATAAACTAACTACTACTAGTACTACAATTGGGGTAGAATTTGGGCATTGGAAATATCGCAACTCTAAAAAAAAAATCGCACGATTGATCAAAGATCGCAACGCTAATTTATAGTATGAAAATTGCAAACGCGGTTGATGTCCATCATATGTATAAAAGAGTAAAAAAGCAACGCGAATCGTGATTGTTCGCAACACTACCCTGAAAAGGAAACGCGAAAAATGGTAATTCGCAACTCTACGAGCAATCGCGTTTATCGATAATTCGCAACGCTACTTTTAAAGCAAACTCCTGGTGCCTAAGTTTGCATGAAAACAATCGCGAATGGTATTTATTCGCAACACTACCCTGAAAAGGAAACGCGAAAAATAGGAATTCGCAACTCTAAAAGCAAACGCGATTATTGGATATTCGCAACTCTATGTATATCATAACCGCGAGTTATGGGGAAGGATGGCTGGCATGTATGGTGCAATCATGTACCATCAGGTACATGCATACGTGAGCCAGTCAGAAAAATAAACTAACTACAACTACGGACGAGTTAAGTGACAAAATAGTAAGAGGAATGACTTTCCATTTTCATCCGAGGATGAAGATGAAAAGCCATTTGTTGTAGCCCACTCTTGAGA